CAATCCCACACCAACTAAAATAAAAAACTACCTTAACAAAAAACCCTGTCTATAAATGTTTCTAGCAACTTATAATTACCAAAAACTAATTTCAACATCTCTCAATTGAGAAATGAGTAAACTGTGAGATACCCATACAATGGAATACTGCTATGCAATATAAACAAAAAAACACACACACAACATAGATGAATCTATACGAATTATGCTAAGTAAAAGAAGCCAGATTCCAACAGCTATATACTGTATGATTTCACGTATAGGACATTCTGTGAAAGACGAGTCTAGGGACAAAAACAGATCAGTGGTTGCCACCACTGAGGACTGAGAAAGGCATGACTTACAAAGGAGCAGGAGGGAACTCTGGGTGGTAATGGAACTGCTCTATATTCTGATTGTGGTAATGGTGGCCACACAACTATTTGTATTTGTCAAATGCAGAATCATATACAAAAAAGGGTAAATAAAAAACTTTGTATATTACTAAGTAAAACTAACAAAACCAAAATTAATACGTGAATAAGCTTAAAATAAGAAAAAGTCGCTAAGCCCTTTTTTGGAAATTAAGGTCCAAGCTACAATTGTATTCCACAAGGCAGATTAACCTTATGCTTTTGTTTGTTTGGTTTTACTCTAAGTAGTAAAATAACAGTACATTTGGCTCCTTAAAAATATACTTTAAAAAATAAGCCTACTATAAAATGTTTTGTTAATTCCAAATTCCTGCTAGGTCATTAACTCAATGAAATCCATCATCCTACATTCCCAGCTGCTCCCTTTATTCCAACATTTTTTTTTTTAAACATTTTTAGGCTGTCCATGTCAGAACAGTATTCAACTCTATTTCATCAACTTATTTCTAATTTAACTTTTAAGATTTTATTTATTCATGAGAGACACAGAGAGAGAGGGGCAGAGACTTTGGCAGAGAGAAAGAAAAGCAGGCTCCATGGAGGGAGCCCCATGTGGGACTCAATCCATGGACTCTAGGATCACGCCCTGGGCTGATGGCAGGTGCTCAACTGCTGAGCCACCCAGGCGTCCTCATCAACTTATTTCAAGTTCTCTTCATATTCTCAACAAGATATTAGGGGAAAAAATTGCTGTTCTAAGTGTAAGACTAGCACTTTAGTCAAGCTATACTTGATTTCAAACTAGCTCTACTCTCACTGATCCTTTTTTTTTTTTTTTTTCCTGCCACACAGGGTCTGTGCCAAACCCCCCTCCCAATCAGTGGAACTAATTTTCCAGTGTAAATCCATTAAAGGAAATTTTAATGAGACAATGGAAAATATGTTTGCACTTGAGCATTATGCTCACAAGAATGTGAAAAAAATGAGTTTAGAATATATTGTTAAAAAGCTAATCAGTATACCATTTAGAAATGTTAAAAATTGTTCAATTTCTACAGAACAAGATCTAATTAAAAGAACCTGAGATAGGGCTTAGGATTTACTTGGATTAACAATGATGTTACACCAAAAATGGTCCTGAGCTTATAAAACTCTTAATTTATTGACTTTCACTATATAATTTTCTGATGCTTCAATCAGTGAAAAGGGTGGGAACTTCTATAATCCAGTGGAGTGTTTCCTAAATTATGTTTCGCACAGAGCTTAATAGGTGTGGTGGGGGGAGCTGGTTAATTAATGAGGCATAATGAGGGGTATAGGCAAGGATTTCATGGTAAGTAAGTTTGGAAATGTTTCTCTCTTTGAACACTTTTTCTTTGAGTATACTCATTAACATCTCACAGAATACTTGGCAGAGCATAGTTTGAGAAATGTTTAAAAAGAAGATTAAGTCTTAAATTTAATTGCATCAAAGACACAATGCCTACATCGTAGGCAGCAGGTACCAAATAGCAACTTATCGGGGAATGCAGACAAAACTCTGGTAGATGCATGTTAGTCTTAAATAGCTAAATTAATACCTTGTTACTCAATGGGTATACTTTTGACCAGGAGTTTCTGTATCACCTTTAATTGTTCAAGCTTTCTCCCAAAATAAATTTCAGTCTTCAAAATTTAACATCCCCACATGATTTCAATGCATGTTAAAGGTTGAGAAGCATTGGCTTACCACAGGAGTTGGCAAACTTTCTGTAAAGAGCCAGAGAGTTCATATTTTAGGTCTTGTAAGCCATAAGGTCTCTTCTGTACTACTCAACTAGGCTATTTATTATATTGAAAAAAAGGTCTATATATTAAGAAGGTATAGTAATTAAAGATATACTTGGATATATTTCAAAATATACTTGGAAGAGAAGCCCAAATACATGAAACAAGAAAATGTCACTTTAGCAATTTATAATGAAAATTTTTAATATTCCTCTCTGTCCTGATGGAAATCGACAGATAATCAGCAAGGATATAGATTTAGGAAGAAAACCACCAGCTTGACCTAGCTGCTATTAACCAGTAACCGCAGACTGCTCATTCTTTTCAAGTGAACATGGGTATATTCTCCAGAATAAAATGCATGTCGGGCCACAAAGCAAGTCTTAATAAAAGACTAAAATCATACTATGTTCTCCAATCACATGTAAGTAAATTAGAAATCAATAACAAAGAAATGTGAGAAATCCCTCAAACGTCAAGTTATCAGACAACCAACTTTTAAATAACCCAAAGGTCAAAAAGAAACTTCGAGGGAAATTTGAAAATATCTTACAGCATAATACTAGTATAAGGTCAGACATATAGATCAAAGGAACAAAAAAGAGAGCTCAGAAACAAAGCCTTATATTTCACTGATTTTGAACAAAAGTGTCAAGGCAATTCAACAGGGAAAAGGATTCTTTTCCTGAACAGTCAGCTGTATTTTAAAACAATTAGGTCCTTACATCATACCATTGACAAAAATTATTTCAAAATAGATCTTACACCTAATTATTAAAGCTAAAATAAAACCACTAGAAGAAAACTACTATAGAAGAAAATCTTTGTGACCTAGGATTGAGCAAAGACTTTTTAAATAGGGTATTAAAAACACAGTACTTAAAGAAGAAGTTGATAGAAAAAGAAACTTAAAGAAAAAGTTGGTCTTTGTGAAATTAAAGACCTGTGCTCTTCAAAATGTGTCACTAAGATGGGATCCCTGGGTGGCTCAGCAGTTAAGTGTCTGCCTTCGGCTCAGGGTGTGATCCTGGAGTCTCGGGATTGAGTCCCACATCGGGCTCCCTGCATGGAGCCTGCTTCTCCCCCTGCCTGTGTCTACCTCTCTCTTCTCTGTGTCTCATGAATAAAAAAAAAAATCTTAAAAAAAAAAAAAGGGTCCCTAAGGAAAAAAGATAACTAGGAGAAACCACTGTCCAGTCATCTGATAAAAGACTTATAACCATAATATAAGAACCCTTAAAATTCAATCACAAGAAGAGAAATAACTCAATTTAACAATGGGCAAAATATTTGAACAGATATTTCAAAAACAAAGATAAATGAATGACTAATACACACATTAAATGATACTCAGCATCATTAGTCATTAGAGACATACAAATTAAAACCACAATGAGCTAGCACTCCACACTTAAATTGAGAGGCATTCTCAAGTAGACCAACTTAAATAAAATAAATAAATGTGGAATGGAAGGACAGAATCTGGAAATTGATTCTCTAAAAATTATTTTTGCTGACCTATTCTTTGGAAAGCTTCTGTGTACCTCCAGTGGTGTACATACCAGAGTTGAAGCCACTGGTGTAAGAAAACAAGAAAGATATGGTGGCTTAGAAAGTAACTGGTTGACAGGATCTGATGGTCTGGATAGGTGTCAAGCATGAATGAGGCTGAGGAGTGTGCCTGGGGAGTGGCTACAGCCGGAAAAGGAGCTGACGAGAGAAAGGTGAGGGAAAGAAGCACAATTTTTTTTAAGAGTTTCTGACATCATCATCTTCTCATTATCATCATCATCATCATGATTCTGATAGTCCCCGGCACTGGCAAGGAAAGTGAGGAAGACAGCCTCAAGTTAACACCCACAATGTTTTTATCACTTAGCTGATTCCCACACAGGCTCCCTGCCCTAGCCCACACTGACAAAAAGGTACCATGCCCAGGCAACTCTCTCTACATCTCCCTTCAAACACATCTAGAAATCACTCTGTAGCAAGTAATTGGAAAAATGCACCAAGCATAGATGACCTTCCTTTTTCCCCTACATCCTAATCTGACGTACTCAAATTACAACATTTCTCACACTGTAATAATTGTTTACAAGCCTGCCTCTTCCCTAGCCCAACAGATTGTGACTTAAGACCGACATTTCTTACTCATCTTGAGATCTTCAGCAGCCAGTAGAATACCTGATATATACCGCAATCAATAAATGTTCAAAAAATGGAAGACTAAGCTTAATATAAACTCCAACTGTGCAATTTAAATATCTTTGTCTACAAAAGACCTTTTTTAATGTCTTCAACATTTCATGGGCAGCAAATGTATTATAAAACCCATTTTTTTCTTTCTTAGGAGAGCCACTAACCTGTAATTAAGAACCTGATATGTTATCTAATCACCTTTTACATAAATGGGAAGGGGCTATATAAAAAAAAAATGTGTTGTAGTGAAAAGACCAGTGGATTAGATAGAAGCTAGGTAACCTGTTAAGGCTAGTACCGGAGACTCTGGATGTGTCTTCTTGGGCATTCAGGTTCCTCCTAGGTGAGATGATAGGATTAACGTGCAATCTCAAAGCACCCTTCAAGTGTTAATATTCTAAGGATCTTTAATCTCAGTGTTTAAGGAACAATTAGAAAGCAGAAGGCATGTCACTAGCTGAGTATTCCTAACATTTTGGTACCTCTTTGGTAGAGATCAAACTAAATTATACTGTCAATATTCATTCAGTACTTCAATTCCATGAACAAAAATAAGCACCAAAAAACAATCTCCTTTTGAAATCAGGAACTTGACTTTTCAATTCTGATCATTTAACCCTTGAAGGAAGCATTTAATCACACATCACAGGCACTGACATCATAAACAAACTATATGCTTACCTGCCAGGAAACTGCTCCTAAAATCGCTGTTGCAAGAAGACTAAAAAAAACTAACTGCTCTGAAATTAAGCAAAAGTGACGCATCCCTTTGGATGCCATGATTCTATCAAGGCTATTGTTATCTACCCTGTGGGTGAAATATACTTTATGGCAGTCATTTAATTTGGTATGGAATCCCCAAAGAGTTAACAGAAAAATAATATGGCAAATCATCCAGAAAATTCCAAAAATGGAAAAGCCTGGTATTACAAAATACCAGAGGTGAGTGTCTCTAAGTTTAAATGCTGAAAGAATAAAAAAGGTAAGCTCAATCATTCCTGTGAAAACTACTGAAAGTCTTCTGCATATCCTTCCACGGTACAAAAACGGTTTCCACCTTTCAGTGACTGAAAGTCCACTAAAATAAATGTCAAGGAAAGGGTCAGTTATCAGGCAAATAAAAAAACATGCAAAAGCAACTGGATTTTTTGGAGTTTCCAATGAGGAGAAAAACAGCAAGACTGCAAAAATAACTAAGTTGGGAATAGCTAAGAAAGACTTCATTCTCAGGTCAATAATCAGCATGGCCAAAGCGACAACAAGTAAAATGACACTCAGCGACTTCTCCACCAACATAGTTGTGCTGGCAATAGCAAATCCAACAAGTTCCAGAAATTCAACTGTGGTTAGTAAAGTGGGTCGATGACGGACATACCCAGAAATTCTCTCCACCAGAGCGCATAATATCCTTAATACTATGGAAGTTAGAAGCAAATATTTGGTTGATTCTTCTTTCACGTCATTTTTAAAGGATGAATTGTCAAGAAAACACAGGAGGCCAAGCAAGAATCCAAACCAAAGATTGGAGAGACTTAAACTTGCTGCTTCCATTGAAAAATAGTAATAGAGTATGCTGGCAATTCCAAGAACAAAAAGACCAAGGATAAAAATTACCAAAATTAAGGAATTTGCTGTTTTTTCCCATCTTACATAGAGACCTAAGCATATAGCAACCAATAAATTGATTCTGGCTAAATAGCCAAGATAACGCACTGAAGAATGCATATTCACTTCTCTGTTGACTTCTTCCAGTCTCGTCATTGCTAAATACAGACAATGACTAAAGCAGTAACGCAGTGATTTACACATGTAATCTGGCAATTTGGGCTTTCTCCCCACGGCACAAAATTAACTGCTTGTTTTTCATCCAGCAAATCCAATGTATCCGTAACTCCTCTGGTGGAATTATTTATAGTGCTCTAAAAAGAAGAAAAAAATATGTCAGTGTTAGTTTTATATAATTTACCTTTTATATTTATCTTCTTTGTACAAAATAATAAGTGAGAAAGTTTCTTCTGAAACTGTTTTAAATTTGACTTGCATGTCTCTTAATGGTAACTGTCTCTGGTTTAATTAAAAACTCAGTTTATCCTAACAAAAATGACAGTGCCTTCTACTTAACATATGCTAAGATAGTATGATTAAATAACCAAAAACAGTGAAACTGGTTTTCCAAAGACTAGAAGCCTTTCTTACTTTAAGGGTTGGTGTTTCAACTACATGCGAATATGAGATCTTGAACCTAGCTTAGATTGTAGTACATGGATTCGGCACAATCAAAGCAACTCCGCAGATAAACTGAATGATGAAAACCTACCTCTGATTTGAAAAGCACTAGTATCCAGTAATAGTGACCATTCTTACCTGCCTAAAATCCTCTGCATCTTTTTACAAGGCAGCTCTAACAAGATAGAAAATCGTAGTCTTCACATTAACTAATCCACTTACCAGAAGTAAAGTTTAATTTTATTAAAGTTAGTCCTTAAAGTTGATGCGTAATTTTCCCTGTACTTTTATCTCTACTAAATTACTTGGGTTATCAAACCTCCTTTTAGATCCAAATACCATCTCTATAGCAAACCAATTCCTGAACTTTCTAGTCAAAATCGTGAAGTTAGAATGCTAACCAGTATTTATTGTAATTAAGAACTTCATACTTTTAAAAAGTTAACAACTATTTGTTAAAGGATCCAGATAATTATCTTAATCTTTGCTCCCACAAGTTGTACTTAAAACATGACAGTGGTAAAAAAAAAAAAAAATGCTTTATCAGATAATTCTTCAAAGTTTCTGGTATACTGTTTCAGAAGAACTGATCCATTCAACAGCTCATGGTTACACTAAATGTCCATGGAGATAAAAATTCAAAACATGACTTGTGATCAGCTTATTTATACTTTAACAGGACACTAAAAGACAGACCTGACAGAAACATAACCTGGAATTAACACCTAATGACCCACTTGGCTGGGGAACAACGCCACTGAATGACGGCCTTCTGTTTCTTTGCTCAACACTCTGTCAGTCTTTGTAACTATTCAACCCCTCTTCCTCGTCCTCAAATCTCACTTCCCATTCCCTGCATTCTCACTAGATGACTGCAACCAGGTGTCAGAAGAGAACCTCCTTAAGTCTCCAACACCACAGACCCACTCTACCCAGCATCTCCCGATACACCTAAGGCTAAATCTTTAGCCATACTGATTAGCTTTTCCCCTCTACCTCTTCCAGAACTCCACAATCTCCTCGCTCTTCAAACTCCCACTCTTCCCTTATCCATTAGCACTTAAACATCTGCAGAGCTCTTTTTAAAAACAATACCCCCCCCCCAAAATCCCAGAAACAAAAGCAATCTTCACTCAATCCCGTCTTCTCTTCCAAGTTCAAGCTTCTGTCCTCTTGACAGCTTTGACCGCCTCACTTCTCACACCACTAAACGACAGTTCCCACCAAACAACAAACTGCTCTGGCAAATTCTAAAATGATGGATAAGCTCCTAAAAGTAATGTGTACTTTTCACTTATTATCCTGCACTTCTTCAAACAACCTTTGACATCATTGAGTCCTCTCAACTTCTGAAACCTGCCCTTCCTTTAGCTTTCAAAGACCAACCTCCAGATTTTCTTCCTAACTCATTGACCTCGCCTTCTCGGTCTTCTTGCAGACTCTCGATTCTCAATCCATCCTTTGGATGTTCAATCACAGGTCGAGGCTTTCCTCTTGCTATACACCTTCCATGAAAAATCTCGTCTATTTCCAGGTCTTCAATTATTCTCTCTTCCCCTCCTGACATAACATATATTAATCTACCTGATGCAAATAAAGCACCAGCTCTGTTCACTCTAGATCCCTTGGGGGATCCCTGGGTGGCTCAGTAGTTTGGCGCCTGCCTTTGGCCCAGGGCGTGATCCTGGAGTCCCGGGATCGAGTCCCGCGTCCGGCTCCCGGCATGGAGCCTGCTTCTCCCTCTGCCTGTGTGTCTCTGCCTCTCTCTCTCTATCATGAATAAATAAATAAATCTTTAAAAAATATATTAAAACCTTGGAAAAAAGGGAAGCTTGTAAATCATATCCATAACATCCTTATCATAGAATATATGCAACCCCACTGTCAAAAATCAACATAGTTGAATATTCTTAAACGGCCAATATACAAGTCTTTCCACATTGTAAACTTTTTCAAAGGAGAAACTGGCTGAATCAGAGAGTAAGACCACACAGCATCCCAATGTTTTCAACTGGTCTGCCGTTACTTGATTCAATGAGAAGTTACTTATGAGACAGATAAAAAATGGAGCACAGAAGAGCTATTTGCATAAGGGAACTCCCAGAGTCTGTTTTATAAAACCCCATATACTACTCTAACTTTCCTCTTCTCCACCACCTATATGTAGTCTCCACCGAGTCCTGTCCACTCTTCTTGGACACATCTGAGATGTTTCTTTTTTCCAGCCCCAAAATCAAAATCCCAATCCTGGCCGCCATCATCTCATGCTTGAATGTCTCCCTGCATCGAGTGGTCGAGCCTGGCCTTCTCCAACAAGTGTCCCTTTTAGAATAAAAAAAATTGTTAGGGGGAATCCCTGGGTGGCTCAGTGGTTTAGTGCCTGCTTTGGCCCAGGGTGTGACCCTGGAGTCCCGGGATCAAGTCCCACGTCCCGCTCCCAGCATGGAGCCTGCTTGTCCCTCCTCCTGTGTCTTTGCCTCTCTCTCTCTCATAAATAAATAAACAAATCTTAAAAAAAATTGTTAGGTCGCTGTTATGCAAAACCCTCCAACGGTTTCCCATCATCTTAAGCAACAGAGTCGAGAGTCCTTATAAAACTTTTCAATTGGAGGTGAACCACTTTCCTGCCTCCTTTCTCTTCCTCTTGGGACTTTGTATTCCACTTTCAGCTCTGAACTGCATGACCGCTGTCCCCTCGCAGGTGCCCTCCTTCCCTCCTCCCGGGCTCCATCCCAGTCCTTACACCTGCCTCGCTCCTGCTTTTCAGGTCTCCCTCAAATCAAGTTCTTAGTGAGGCTGCCCCTGACCCATTTATACGGTCCCTGCACTGCTGCTAGAATAGCGAAATGCTGGTGGTCCTCTGTTCGATGTCTGCAGTCCCTCCCTACTAGATTCACAAAGTCTCAGAGTTTGTCTTTAACACCATGTACGCGCATCTTAGCAGAAAAGTTGGCACCGGGCCGCCGGGGTGGCTCAGCGGTCTGGCGCCTGCCTTTGGCCCGGGGCGTGACCCTGGAGACCCGGAATCGAGTCCGCGTCGGGCTCTCTGTGTGGGGCCTGCTTCTCCCTCTGCCTGTGTGTCTCATGAATAAATAAAAATCTTAAAAAAAAAAAAATTGGCACCGAGTGGGTGTTCAACAAGCACCTATGAGAGGAATATAGACTAATGAAGAAATAATTATGTTTAAGGCCGATGCCAGATACTGGTCACAGAGGCGTGGCGGCTCCCCTCAGCCCCCCCCCAGCCCCCCTCAGCCCTCCCTCGGCTCCCCTCAGCCCCCCTCAGCCCTCCCTCGGCTCCCCTCGGCTCCCCTCAGCCCTCCCTCAGCCCCTCTCAGCCCTCCCTCGGCTCCCCTCAGCCCTCCCTCGGCTCCCCTCAGCCCTCCCTCGGCTCCCCCTCTGCCCTCCCTCGGCTCCCCTCGGCTCCCTCTGCCCTCCCTCAGCTCCCCTCAGCCCCCCTCAGCCCTCCCTCGGCTCCCCTCGGCTCCCCTCAGCCCTCCCTCAGCCCCCCTCAGCCCTCCCTCGGCTCCCCTCAGCCCTCCCTCAGCTCCCCTCTGCCCTCCCTCGGCTCCCCTCAGCCCTCCCTCAGCTCCCCTCTGCCCTCCCTCGGCTCCCCTCAGCTCCCTCAGCCCTCCCTCGGCTCCCCTCAGCCCTCCCTCGGCTCCCCCTCTGCCCTCCCTCGGCTCCCCTCGGCTCCCTCTGCCCTCCCTCAGCTCCCCTCAGCCCCCCTCAGCCCTCCCTCGGCTCCCCTCTGCCCTCCCTCGGCTCCCCTCGGCTCCCTCAGCCCTCCCTCGGCTCCCCTCTGCCCTCCCTCGGCTCCCCTCGGCTCCCTCTGCCCTCCCTCGGCTCCCCTCAGCTCCCTCTGCCCTCCCTCAGCCCTCCCTCGGCCCCCCTCAGCCCGCAGCCGGCGCTCCCGTGTCCTGCCCCGGGTCCTGCTCGCCGACGCGCTGCACCCTGGGCCCGGGCTCCGGCCGCAGCTGCCTCTGTCCCGTCTGCGGGAAGAAGCATCGAAAGCGAAAAGGCCCGTACCGAGCACCGAGGTCGGGGGAGGTCGGGGGAGGTCGGGGGTGTCGGGGGTGTCGGGGGTGTCGGGGCTTCGGCTCTAGGAATCTCGTTAACTCCCGGGCCCGCGACGTGGAGCCAAGGGCCCCGAGCACCCGGGCTCTCGGTCCGAGGCGCCCGCGGCCGGCCCTGCCCCTGCCGCCCGGAGGCCCGCGGCCACCTCGGCCCCCCCCGCCCCCCAGGTGCTCCCGGGGACCCGCAGCAGCCTCGGCCCCACAGCCCGCGGGGCGGAGCCCGGGCGCCGCCGGGCGGGGGCCGCCTCCCGGTGTCCCCGCCGACCCCCTACCTGACTCGGCCGCCGCCGCCCGTGCGCGCCCAACCCCCGGAGCCGGCGCTGGGGGCGCTGGAGGGCGCGGGGGGGGCGCGGGGGGGCGCGTGGGCCCGGCCTGCGGCTCGCGGCGGGAGGCGGCGCGGCGGGGGGGCGAGGGCCGCACGCACTAACGCAGGCCGGCCTCGGGGGAAACTTTCCGGGGGCCCGGCCCGGGCGCGGCCGCCATGTTGCCGCCGCCGGATCGCGCCGGTACGGAACGCCGCCGGGGTCACGGCGCCCGCGCTTCCTCCGAGCCCCGCCCCCCCGCTCCGGGCGGCCGGACCTGGGACCCGCGGCGGGCGGGGGACTCGGGACTCGAGGCCTCCGGGACGCCGCCGCCCCCGCCCTGGGCAGCACCTGCAGGACGGGCCGCACGGGGGCCCGGAGACCCCCCAGCCCGGCCGCCGCCCCGGCTCTCCCTAGATCACCGCCCGGGGCTTGAACCTCCACAGCACGGAGTTCCCAGCTCTGGCCGGCTCCAGGCCCCCCAGCCCGTACACCGCCCCCCAGCCCGTACACCGTCCCCCCAGCCCGTACACCGCCCCCCATCCCCGCCCCCCATCCCGTACACCGCCCCCCCAGCCCGTACACCGCCCCCCCCATCCCGTACACCGCCCCCCCAGCCCGTACACCGTCCCCCCATCCCGTACACCGCCCCCCCAGCCCGTACACCGTCCCCCCATCCCGTACACCATCCCCCCAGCCCGTACACCGTCCCCCCCAGCCCGTACACCGCCCCCCCATCCCGTACACCATCCCCCCATCCCGTACACCATCCCCCCCAGCCCGTACACCATCCCCCCATCTCTTACACCGTCCCCCCCAGCCCGTACACCGTCCCCCCATCCCGTACACCGCCCCCCCAGCCCGTACACCATCCCCCCATCCCGTACACCATCCCCCCATCCCGTACACCGTCCCCCCATCCCGTACACCGCCCCCCCATCCCGTACACCGTCCCCCCATCCCGTACACCGCCCCCCCATCCCGTACACCATCCCCCCCAGCCCGTACACCGCCCCCCCAGCCCGTACACCGTCCCCCCATCCCGTACACCGTCCCCCCATCCCGTACACCGTCCCCCCATCCCGTACACCGCCCCCCCAGCCCGTACACCGTCCCCCCATCCCGTACACCATCCCCCCAGCCCGTACACCGCCCCCCCATCCCGTACACCATCCCCCCCATCTCGTACACCATCCCCCCCAGCCCGTACACCATCCCCCCATCTCTTACACCGTCCCCCCAGCCCGTACACCGTCCCCCCATCCCGTACACCGCCCCCCCAGCCCGTACACCGCCCCCCCAGCCCGTACACCATCTCCCCCATCCCGTACACCGTCCCCCCATCCCGTACACCGCCCCCCCAGCCCGTACACCGTCCCCCCATCCCGTACACCGTCCCCCCATCCCGTACACCGCCCCCCCAGCCCGTACACCGCCCCCCCAGCCCGTACACCGTCCCCCCATCCCGTACACCGTCCCCCCCAGCCCGTACACCGCCCCCCATCCCGTACACCGTCCCCCCAGCCCGTACACCGTCCCCCCATCCCGTACACCGTCCCCCCAGCCCGTACACCATCTCCCCCATCCCGTACACCATCCCCCCCATCCCGTACACCATCCCCCCATCCCGTACACCATCCCCCCCATCCCGTACACCATCCCCCCATCCCGTACACCATCCCCCCATCCCGTACACCATCCCCCCCAGCCCGTACACCATCCCCCCATCCCGTACACCATCCCCCCATCCCGTACACCGCCCCCCCAGCCCGTACACCATCCCCCCATCCCGTACACCATCCCCCATCCCGTACACCATCCCCCCTATCCCATACGCCATCCCCCCATCCCGTACACCATCCCCCCCGTCCCGTACACCGCCCCCCCCAGCCCGTACACCATCCCCCCATCCCGTACACCATCCCCCCATCCCGTACACCGCCCCCATCCCGTACACCGTCCCCCCCATCCTGTACACCATCCCCCCCGCCTGTATACCGCCCCCCAGCCGGTACACCGGCCCCCCTATCCTATACACCATACCCCTCCAGCCCGTACACCGCCCCCCCATCTCGTACACCCCCTTACACCTGCCCCCCCATCTCGTACACCCCCGCCCCAGCCCGTACACCGGCTCCCCCACCGGCTCCCCCAGCCGGTGCACTGACCCCCCATCTCGTACACCGGCCCCGCATCCCTTACCCCGCCCCCCCCAGCCGGTACACCTCCTCCCCAGCCCTTACACCATCCCCCCAGCCGGTACACCTGCGCGCCCCAGGCGTACACCATCACCAGCCTTTCTTCCTAAGGGTCCTTCAGACGCCAGGCCCTGATGCTCATTTATACTCTGAACTCACTGAGTGAACCTAAGGGGATGTTGCTTAGGGACCACGATTCACAACTGCTGTGGAGTCCAGTGGTTTTGGAGTTTGGATCCTCCTTTAATATGTGCGATTATGTTCCTCTGTCAAAAAAAAAAGGGGGGGGGGGATCCCTGGGTGGCGCAGCGGTTTAGCGCCTGCCATTGGCCCAGGGTGCGATCCTGGAGACCCGGGATCGAATCCCACATCAGGCTCCCGGTGCATGGAGCCTGCTTCTCCCTCTGCCTATGTCTCTGTCTCTGTCTCTCTCTCTCTCTCTCTCTCTCTGTGACTATCATAAATAAATAAAAAAAAATTTAAAAAAAAAGTAAACCTTCCTTGCAAAGATACTGTGAATGTTCTTCGAAAGAACAGGCCTTCAAAAAGTGTGAATTCCTCTCCAAGAAGTCTTCCCTGCCAGCCTGCCTTCTATCCTCCCCATCCTTTTCTGCTCCTTGTAGGTCTCAGGTCACTTAATTTCCCTCTGAACCCCAGTTTCCTTGTGTGTTAATGGGATACTAGTAACATCCAGCGTACAGAGTTGTTGCAGGGATCAAATGAGATGATGTATGTAAAAAAAATAGCTTAAAACATCTAAAACCCTTAGATGTTTTATCCTCTTTAGGTTAAGGCTCAAAATCCTTCAACAGGTATGGACCAGTTCTGTAGCCCGGCCTTTTTTTTTTTTTTTTTTTTACCTCCAGCTTGACCTCCGCAACACCTCCAAATTGTCTGCACCCCAGCCTGCTTTCACGTCCTCATATGCCAGGACATGTCCAGTTTTGCTCACCATTAAATCGGCCTGGTGTAGTGCACGATATAGGGTTGGCACTTAAACATTAAACAAAGAGTACACAGTAGGCCTTCAACAATCATGAGTTCTCTCCCATTTATTTTCTGTTCGTACCACCTATACTTTTCCTATCTCCGCTGATAGAATGTGAATTTCTTCATTTTCACGTAGTAGAAGTTGGGGGGTTAGAGTGGGCGGCACATCAGTAGCGATGAAGCACTCTTAGACTCCGATCCCTCCTATGTAAATAAAAAGTGTGAGAGTCTGTCCAGATTCCTGTCTTAACTCGAAATGCAGTTACTAGCCAACTCCCCAATCTGTAACTCTGGCTCTCTGGGGAACACGTGTCACATTGGCAACTCCCTGTTAGATGTTTCTACTTGAATACATGGCCATCACTTCTCATCCAGCTTACCCTTTAATGGATGTATATAGATGTGTACGTGTATATGTATACATACATATATTTGTTGCTTTTGCATGCCTACCCTCTGAATCACCATTCTGTGTTTGGAGAATTCCCCACCTTAGGAGTCTACTGGCTGAATCTGAAATGCCACATACTGGTTCTACCAATCATGTACACCAGCCGGGAGCTCTTGACTCAGAACAGCAAACGCAGAAAGCCGTGTGCTTCCTGGGTAACTGCAGGAGTATTGCTGCTAGGTCAGCTCCTGCGGCAACAGTGAGGGGGGCTCTAGGGGTGAGCATCCAGCATCCGGGATTAGTGGCGTCAGTGACTCACTGTGCATTCCTACAGCCACCCTAGAGCCCCCTCCCATGGGTCCAGTGGTCTGTTGTTACCGGGTGTAGTCTCTGACCATGCAGGTCTAACGCTCCCTTTCCAGCCATCCTCTGAGCTACTCCGTGTCCTCTCATAAATTTCTTTTCTGCTTAAACCACAGCTGTTTCCTCTTCCTAAGCACTATGGCTCCTCATTAAAACGGTGCTTTTTCATCTTCCTCAAACATGATCCACAGCCTGGTGACCTTGAAACTCTCTTTGATGCTTGTTATCTTGTCGGTATACTTTAGAATACTTCAGTGAGATGTGTATGTGTTTGAGCTTTAACTTTAATCTGCACACTCCAGGGTGGATAATTAGCATTTGAAAGACTAATCAGGAATCTTCACTATAGAGATGGATGCACAAGTGCTTCCACTATCACGGTTAATCTGCACTTAGAGGTATGTTAATTAACATAAAAGATTATAAATAATTTTTCATTGTAGAGATAACAGGTGTTGGAGATATGTGGCTGGTTAGAATAGTGTACAGGCACTTCTTTTTTTTTTTTTTGGCATTTCTGTTCTTGCTTAAATGTAGTACCTGTAAGCATCCTCTGAATATGGCACACCGACAGCCTTTAGAAGGGCTCCCTGAAAATAGAACGCTGTTTAGTACGTTGGCACAAGATATTTTTTGTGTGTGGTGTTTTGTTTTTGTTTTTGTTTTTTTTGTGCCTGCTTGTTGATGATGGTCTATGTAGTTGCATGAAGCCTGCAGACTTGCTTTCACTGGAGGACACCACCTAATAGTGAAGGAAGAGAGGGTAGCCCTCATCAAGCTTTAGTTGTTGAAGGCTGCCAGTATTTACTGTAAGAACCCGACAGTTGTGAAGGCCAAGAGTTCGTTTTCATTCACTACATGTCTTGCATTTATTCTTTCTTTTCAAATTCCATTGTCACTACCCTCGCCCCTGAATTACTTCAGTAACTTCTGTGGTTTGTCATCCTGATGTCAGCCTCACCCCCATCTCATCCATCACACTGACTGATACTCTCAGAGCACTGTTCTGGGTCACTTCTTAGATTAAAACCAATGACTTCTACAGGCTACAGAATAAAGGCCCAACCCCCCATTGGGGCACCTGAGGCCCTCCAGGGATGAACTAAACCTCCCTTTGCCCGGTACTATTTATCCTGAGATTAGAAGTGTTAGGGTCAGGGCACCTGGGGCTCAGATGTTTAAGCAGCTGCCTTCGGTTCAGATCGTGGTCTCAGGGTCCTGGGATCGAGCCCCACACCAGGGCCCCCTGCTCAGCAGGAAGTCTGCTTCTCCCTCTCCCTCCGCCCTTCACCCCTGCTCGTGTGCTCTCTCTCTCTCCCTCTCTCTCAAATAAAGAAATACAATCTTAAAAAAAAATAAGTATTAGGGTCAATTTTTGCCATCTGGCACATCCTCAACTGAACACCTGGACATAAAAACAGCCACCTGGGAAGCCTCTCCGTGACAGGAGGTTTCAAGCAACAGTTACGGATGGCAGTGTAATGATCCTAATAGCAGACACAGCCATTCGTCAACACATAGTTCCATGCAGGCAAGGTCTATGCTCCAGGCCAAAACTTTCACCCAGAGGAATTAGTTCAGACTAGGAACACCTGTGGAAAATAGCATTTTAAAAAATCAAGAGAAGGAGGGAAGGCAGCACCCGTGGCAGGAGAGATGGATCATTTCTATTTCGGGCCTCTGTGGCGCAGAGTCGGAGGAGTCCTACAATATTTCTTCCTATCTCCTCTCCCGTTTACCCTCCTACGTCTTTCAAACGTTCGATCCTGTTCCAGAGCTGAACCAACTCGGGTTCTCTGTACGTGATCTGCTGGGTCTACTCCCTTGTTAGGTCTGTGCAATACTCGGAGATTACAAAGTGCTTTCACCCATGTCCTCTCGGTCACTCTACGAAACCAGATGATGTCAATATCATCATCATTTTATAGGTAAAATAACCAACGTCCAGAGAAACTACTGTCTCGAGCAGTGACCTCAGTCTTTTGGCTTCAAGTTCTAGGTCACCAAGCGTGGTTTTCTAAACATCATTTCCCTCTGCGGGGGAACACAGGTATTTCTGCCTCATTGGTGCTATAAATAGTAAGCAGCAAAGGGTTACAGTATTCAGTCCCAGCATGCTCCTTAGAATCATCTCGAAGATTTTTAACCTACACCTGTGCTCAGACCAGATCAATTAAATCAGTCTCCTCTGGAGTGAGTTCCAGGTAGATGGTGTGTTTTCTTAAAGACCCTTCCTTCCCCTGGTCTTGCCTCCCTCCCCAGGGATTCTAATGTAAAGCAAGGGTTGAGAACCACTGGGTTTTTTTTTTTTTTTAAGATTTTATTTATTTATGAAAAACACAGAGAGGAGAGACAGAGAGACAGAGACACAGGCAGAGGGAGAAGCAGGCTCCATGCAGGGAGCCCAACGTGGGACTCAATCCTGGGACCCCAGGATCATACCCTGGGCCCAAGTCGGCGCTAAACCGCTGAGGCCCCTGGGCTGCCCGAGAACCACTGGGTTATTATCTCCGTCAGTGCAGTGGTTCTACAAGTGTGGTCCCCACACCAGATGTATCAGCACCATCTGGGAACTAGTTAGAAATACAAATTATCAGGCCCTACCCCCAGATCTACTGAATCAGAAACTCTAAGGGTAGAGCCCAGATTTTAGGATTAGGTACTACAGGTATGTGTATCAAAAAGCTCAACAACCGGGGCTTAATACCACTTTATTTCTCACAAAAAAGTCTAGAGGTAGGTGTTCTAGAGCAGATGTGGTGCTTCTTGATGTTAAAGATCCTGATTCCTTCTCTCTTGTTCTCCTTCCACTCAGAACATGGCTTCCTCAGAGCAATATGGCTGCTTAATTTCTAGCTATCATTTCTGAATTCCAATCAAGAGAAAGGAAGAAGTACAAGAGGCAAATGTACTCCCCTCACCCTTACTTTAAGGTCACTTCTTGGAAGTTACATGAAACCCTCCAGCTTCTATCATTTTGACCAGTATTTAGTGTTCATAGAATCAGGGGAAAGTTTCGGGGTAGCTATATACCCATCTGAAAGTCAGAGTTCTTGAGGTGCCTGGGTAGCTCAGTTGGTTAAGCATCTGCCTTCTGCTCAGGTCATGGTCTCAGGGCCATGGTAAGGGCTCTGGGCTAAGCACTCAATGGGGAGTCTGCTCGTCCCTCTCCCTCTGCCCCCCCACCATTCATGCTCATGTGCTCCCCCCCTCTCAAATAAATTAAAAAAAATCTAAAAAAATTTTTTTTTTAGTCAAGAGTTCTCTTTCTGAGAAAGAAGGAAGAAGAAATAATGGGGGGAAACAAGCCATGTTTGCCAGTTTACGCTTTTTCCTTATATCCCTAATTCTCAAGTCAGAAAATAGATGTCATTATTGTTTGAGCCACTTTTGACTTGCCATCGACTAATGTACCTTATCTCATGAGCACTTACTCTGTATTAATGATGGCAAATACTGCATCATATAGCTCAGCCATGATTTAGTTAACCTTTTCCTTAATTTGGAGAGTTCAGGATGTTTTTGATTTTTGTTATCAAATTCTACAACTTTGGCCCATTGCACTTGTGATATGTTACATTTCTGATCATCTTTTTGGAATAGATTTCTAGATAGTTTAAAGAATATGAATATTTTTAAGGCCATTATTTGTACCGCTGATTTTCTTATCGGAAAGAAACCATTCTGTGGGCCTGGCTGTCAGCTAACTACATTTTTGGCAACAGAGAGCTTTGTCTTTAAACATTTTTTATTTTTTGCTAATATTTCTTTAACATTTTGAAAATAATGCATTTTCATTGCATAGATTCTTGCAATCTAAAGATGCCGATGAAAAGTCTGGTGCCAACCTGAGTCCCATTCCTTTGTAGTAATATGCCTTTTCTCTCTCTTAGCTTTTTGAAAACTGTCTTTATCCTAAATCTTCCAAAATTTCATATGTGGAAGTTTAAGAAAACCCTATATTTTTATTTAGCAATCCTTTTTTATTGAAAGATTCTAACCAGTCTTAAATTCTGGAAAAATATTAGCATTATTTTTTCCAGCATATCCTTTCTCCTGTTTTCTCTATTTCTTATTTGGAACTCCAATTTCTAAGATATGTTGGAACTTTATCTGATCTTCATGTTTCTTCCATATTTTTTACCTCTTTATTTCCTTGTGCTCTTTTCTGGAAGAATTCTTCAGTTTAATCTTACAGCCAGTAATTTATTTCTTAGGCCATTAAATTTTTTTTTCCTAGGCTTTTACTTTCTTTTTTCTTTTTCCTTCCTTCCTTCCTTCCTTCCTTCCTTCCTTCCTTCCTTCCTTCCTTCCTTCCTTCCTTCCTTCCCCCTTGAAATATCTGCTATCCTTTAATGATCTCCGTTATTTTATGGCATTTTCCTCCTTTGAGGATACTAAACATGCATGTTTTAACTTGTATTCTGAATGCTTATTTTATTCCATTTCATCAGCTTCCAGTTTCTTCCATTTGTTGGATTTGTCATCTTTCATGGTGTTGACTTTCTTTAGGTATTGGTGGAGGGGTGGTGTGGAGAATTAGAGAAGAAGACAAACCATGAGAGACTCATAACTCTGGGAAACAAACTGAGGGTTGCAGAAGGGGAGGTGGGTGGATGGATGTTATGACTGAGTGACAGACACTAAGGAGGGCACGGGATGTGATGAGCACTGGGTGTTATACTATATGTTGGCAAATTGAATTTAAATTTTTAAAAAATTTAAGGAGCTTCTCCCTTTGTCACTTGGGCTTTCCGGCTGTGGTCCCTGAGTCTTCCCATTTTAGTCTTTTAGACTGAAAAAGTGTTCCTTGCTCTCTGTTCTTAAAGAGGCTTCACAGTTCTCTGGGAACTTACCTTCCAATTTTCAGTGCAGCTGCATTTATATTAAGTGATTTAAA